GAGAATCAAACAGAATATAATTAAACAAAATGGATCGGAACCACATAAAACAGAAATAAACCAAATATAAAACAACTAGAGTGCAGATGAACTATACCTCAGCATTTCTGCTTCAGCAGGAAGTTAAAGATTTTTCTGCCAGATACAGTTTCACTGCCAACAACTGCTTATCAATCATTTTCTGTGCCAAATGTAAACTGGCTTTAAAGCGTGCAGCTGTGGCCAGAATATCCCTTTAATCAGAAATAAAAATGTCTTTCCCTTTAAATGAAGCAGTCTTCTTGGCATGCTGGTATGAATCCTACTAAACGTGCACCAAGGAAACCTGCTAACATGACTTAGACAAGAAACTGTCCAGCATTATATAGACTACGTAGCTGTTTCTATGACAACAATCTAGTTTTATTGGGAAATCTAACTGGTTGCTTAGTTCGGACCAGAACTTCTCCTCAAGCATGTCTGCTGACAAGATCACAGGAAGTTTGATCTGCACCAAGCAGCAGACGTTCAGGATTCAGGTTCAGAGCCAGAAATCAATCCAACCATCCTCACGCAAACACCCCCCCAAAAAAAAATAAAGTAAACAGCCCCTGATGTAAAAGAAACGTTTAACTGTTGCATGTTAAAATTCAAACCAGACACTTTAACCAACACCACCACGGATCCAGTTATTCATTCAGCATTTAGGTAAAATGGAGGATCCGGCCCCCGGCCCCACCCCTGTGCTGGGTCTCCTGAGAGATCTGAACAGCCACAGCCTGCTGGTCCGTCCACAGTCATGAAAACCAATCTGGAGACACAACAAACTTCATAATCCACCAAATAAACTTGATCCAGTTAGCGGAGTAAGGTTGGGCTGAGGCTAATTTATCCTCCAATAAACACATGATGATTATTTCTGTGAAATCCTGATTACATGTAAAACTCAACTAAAATATCAAAAACATTATTTTGTATTTCTTAATTTATCACATTAAAACCATCATTATTATTAGGGGTCTCTTAAATGCCTGTGAGAAAATCTAGATTATTCTGTGTTCTCAGTGACATACTGACCAGGCCTCTAAAGCTACCATTCATTCATTCATTCACTCATTCATTCAGATGGCTGGTCTCTGAGGCTGACAGCACAGTTAAAGTACTCCTTTTGCAAGTCATTATGAAGTAATAGTAAGAAGTATCTGGCAGAGAATAAGCATCTGACCACAGCCCAATCAGCCCAGAAAAACATAAAACAGTGAAACTTATATTTCAGACCAGATTACATTATCACTACATTAGCACCGCTAGATGAGCTATAAGTATTAGTGAGCGTATCTTCAAGTACGTTAGTAATACTCACTCATGCTGAGAGCATCCAGGCTGTGTTGCAGACACACAGACAAGACGATGGGATGAGACAAGAAAAATAGTTTTTCGTCTCTTTGTCAGGATCCAGATATCTGGGCCCAGAAACCCAGGCTGTTCTTTCACCTCTCGGTCCAACTGAGCCAAGGCAGCGGTACAGGCCGCCATACTGGGGTGTGTTCGCAGTGCCCTATGGAGCCGGCCTGGAGCCCTCAGCTGAAAGCAGCCCAGAGAGTCGTATGAGCTGGAAAGTGCCACATCAAGACTACCTGGAAGTGGTTTTATTGTGGAAGGGCTGAACCATCTCAGTGTTCAGACACAGGGGGGTTCAGGGAGAAGCAACTATAGAATCATATAGAATATCTGTTCATTACCCCCCTCCCAGACATTATTCTTCATCCTCCCTCTCACTTTGCTCCCTTCACTTCATCCTCATATCTCAGCCTTCTGCCTCCTCCCTTCCTCAGCCTCACTCCTTTTCTTTCTTTCTTTCTTTTCCATCCATCCTTCCCTCCCTCAGCTCAATGCAATTATAGTAATGGATTTTCCCCCTTCAGTTGATGGCTTCCGACATCCTGTCTTGAAATGAAGCTAATCATGCTCTTAAGGGTCATGTTTAGTTAATGAAGGGTTTGGGGGACACATGGGGGAGGGAGGAGGCCATGCTTATATGAAGGATGTCCATTATTGCACATATGCACAAAGCAGACATTCATTTGCATGCCTCCACTAAAAGTTTGGTCACAAGCATCAGCAACAAATACATGAATTTTAGTACATGAATCAAGAGGAATGCACGCACCCATCTGTCCCCAGATGTTCACGTTCACTCAGAAGCAGATGATAAAGCGTATATGGCAGCGATGCAAACAGAGCACACAGGCCTGTCAAGCTATGTCAGGATCTCAGCAGACGCTCTAGGCTTTGCCAGCATGTCTGCTGAATGATGTGTTCAAGTCTGAGACTGGGAGGGCAGAGGCTTGGACTGAGGGAGAGACGGGATGTAAATGGGAGAGAGAGCAAAGGAAGTGGAACAAAGATCAGACAGGAAAGATAGTGGTAATATAAACGAGAAATGGAGAGTTAGCAGGACTCAACAGAGAGTAGAATACAGGCCAAGGAGGGTTGAGAGGTGAAAAACAAGATCAGGACAAAAAGGCGGAAAAAACACTGTAACCAGTCGCCATTTTCGTTCCAACAGAACTGTCTGCTTACTTCTGCAGTTCCATGTCCCTTTTTATCATATCTGACTGACTTTTATATGCCTTAAATCCAACCAAACACATATAACAGTTAATAGCTCAGTGGTTCATCATAAACACAGGTGATATGATGCCAGAACGAAGCTCTGCAACATTTCGGTTTTATCTGATAAATGTGTCTTTAATGTGTAGAATGAAGGACAGACGTTATGTGTCCATCAGCAGATGAAGGTGGAGGTGAAAGCCATGCATGGACAGAAGTCCTCACAGTATTTTATAGACAATATTTTTGATCCAATTTGGATCTTCCTTATGTCAACATGTTTGTAGACCCACCACAGAGAGAAGCTTCAGGTAAGGAGATGTGACAACTAACATTGGATGTGACGTACATGGCATATTTTCCTTATTTATACTCATAGGAATCACGTTGCAGACATGGCGACTCCGACTGGATTAGCTTAATGCCTGCTGCGACGGTAAACTGGAAGACCATCCAGCTAGCGATGTCAAATCTTCTCCCAACTCTGAGAAGGTGAAGCTAATTACAAAGTTAGCTGAAACTTTTACAGCAGAGGACCTGCCAACCTCGTTTAGACTCGATAGGATCAGGGGTTGGTGTTTTTGGATTTCATTTCCTACCTGAAAGGTCTCGCTGAAACGCTGATCTCCACAGTTTAAAGCCACACATAAAGTGATAAGCAGGTAAGATAAATCTGCACAGACAGATACCACCAGCGAATCTTTTGTCCCTGTAACTGAGCCTGTCGTGTTCTCCAGAGGAGATCAGTGAGAGTCACATGGGTCTAAATAGAACGGCTCTATATGGGAAGGTAGCAGAGAAACAGCAGATCACTGACCAGTTACAGAAGAACATTAGCTGTTTGTTCAGAACAAGCAGAGGTCCAAAACCTCTGGCTTCAGAGATGATGGTGCAGACATTTTTTAATGTATTCTGCAGTTACATCTTTTTGTCTGCGATACGCGGTATTAGTCTGGTTGTGGTTGGGTGGGGTGGGGTGGGGTCAGTAAGGGATTTCTCATCACATTGTGATTAGAAGGATAATGGAGTTGTGAAACATTCCCAGGATGGGAGGAAGACATTCTTTGGATTGGTAGATCACTAAAGTATGTAGATCGTCATACCTGAATGTCTACATGACCACGTCTTTCTGGTCGATGACGATCCAAGCTGGATCACAACGCTGTCGATAAAATATTAGTGAGACCAAGTGTGCAGTATGTTCTCCATTTTTCCAGCTAAGCCAAAATGAGTCATGCGTGATGATAGGAGAACGTGATAATATTGCAGGATCCAAGATGGTTTGCATTAAATAAATAAATAAATAAACAGTGTTCATGTGCTTCTGCTATGGGTTCATAGCAGACATGGACCCAGAAAGGTTTTACTGAAACAGTTGCTTCTGTCTGAGGTCCAACTGCCTGGTACCTAAAAAATTAACTTACATTTGTTGCTTTCTTTGCTATATGCATATTTACATACATTGATATCGGGATAACAAAACATTCATGATGTATCGTGCAACTTTTATATTATTCTCATCCAACCAAGACATTTGTTTTGATGGGAAATGAGACGAGCAACACTCAAAGGATAACAAAATAAAGTAAGAACATAACCCGTTTTTTTTATTTAAAAAAATGAAATATCAACAATTATTTATCCTCTCTTCAAAATCCATTGTAAAAATCGATATTGGTATCCCAGCCATCAAACGCTTCTTCTAACAGCTGAGTAGCTTTCTGCATGCTTCCTCTGGTGTTCTGATCATTTCCCTTTAAAAGGCAGAAGGACTCCTTACCATCACCCTAATCTTTAGCTCCCTCCACAGATAATGCATCAGATTCAGGTCAGGGTTCTGACTGGGCTGCTCCAGAACATTCTTATTTCCAGTGAGAAGAAACATGTTGGTTAAATTAAAAGATTAATTGAAATCTGAATCTTCCAGGTGTATGAATAATTCTGGCCATAACCTCACATCTTGTTATTAGAAAAATAAATTCTGCTTAGAATCAGCTTCAAGCCTGGTTTATTACACGTCTAAATGTGCACAAATGAAAATGTTAATAATCTGGAATATTCCATCCAGACTGAATGAACAACTTTGTTTTCCTGTATTCAGATTTCTTCTCTTTCTGTCCTTTTCTCCGTTTCTTTTCGCTTCATCATTTCTCATCTGCATTCATACATCATATTTAACAGGAAAGAGCCTAGCAGTAAATGTTTTAAAGTCAAATATAACTGCTGCTTTCTAATTTGGAGTTTAATTTTCTTCTTCTAAAATTCCCTTCAGCATAAAACTTTGAAATTATTAAACTTCTTTCACACAAACAAAAGTATAAACCAGGTCAGTAAGGAAAGATTTTCCACAGCAACGTCTATTATTCATTTTTCACGTCTTTTCTAAAGTGAGTTAACAGGAAGTAGGGTGGCGAGAGGGGCCTGGACTCGAACCAGCGGCAGGCTGCATCGACAACTAAGGCCTCCGTACGTGGGTCGGACGCTCTACCATTGCGCCACCGTCACGCCCAGCATCAACTCCTCTAAAAGACTTTCATTATTAGCATCAGAATGCAACCAGACTAAAAGTGCGGCTCATGCTGTGTGCAGTCAGAAAGAAACGGCCTACAGTCACTCACAGCTCCTACATCCAGACCAACTGTGGCTTCGCTCACAAACATCTGCAACAAACCTCTGGATGCAAGAATTGCTCACTCATGTTTGATCAGATACACATTCATAACCCACTTAATCAGAAAAGAAAGATGAACTGTTCCTTGCAAGCAGATCTGCAGAGCTTTACACTGAACACAGCTTCATGATGGAGCCAGATTTAGACGCTGTGGTGCTGGGGGGCGCACACCAATCAGAACCACAGGGTTGGTGCTGGTCACAGTTTAAACTGCCCTGTGAGACACCTAACACTACTGAGTCACAGTGGTGTTTTCTACCAGAACATATATTTATTGTGTGAATAACATAATAGTTACATCAACTAATAAATCAACCGGTCCCCATCTGCAGCAGCGATTGGGCGAGAGGCAGGGTCCACCCTGGACAGGTCACCAGTCCATCACAGGACAACACAGACAAACACAAGACTATGGCAGGAAGTTGGAGTACCCAGAGGGAACCCACACATCCACAGGGAGAACATGCAAACTCCACACTCAATGACCCCAGCTGGACTTAAACCCAGGACCTTCTTGCGAGGCAGCAGCGCTACCGGCTGCACCACTGTGCATGCAGCCAATAACACAAGCAAATGACACAATTACACTTAAACTTTTGTTTCAAATATGAGATGAAATGTCTTTTTTTTCCCCAGAGTTGATCAGTTTGAAAACTATGTACTATGTGCTATGTACTATGTAGTATGTACTATGTGCTATGTACTATGTGCTATGTGCTATGTACATGTACTATGTACTATGTACTATGTGCTATGTGCTATGTACTATGTAGCATGTGCTATGTACTATGTGCTATGTACTATGTGCTATGTACTATGTGCTATGTACTATGTGCTATGTACTATGTGCTATGTGCTATGTGCTATGTGCTATGTGCTATGTACTATGTGCTATGTGCTATGTACATGTGCTATGTACTATGTGCTATGTACTATGTGCTATGTACTATGTGCTATGTGCTATGTACTATGTACTATGTGCTATGTGCTATGTGCTATGTACTATGTGCTATGTGCTATGTACTATGTACTATGTACTATGTGCTATGTGCTATGTACTATGTGCTATGTACTATGTACTATGTACTATGTGCTATGTACTATGTACTATGTGCTATGTACTATGTACATGTACTATGTACTATGTACTATGTACATGTACTATGTACTATGTGCTATGTGCTATGTACTATGTAGTATGTGCTATGTACTATGTGCTATGTACTATGTGCTATGTGCTATGTGCTATGTACTATGTGCTATGTACTATGTGCTATGTGCTATGTACATGTACTATGTACTATGTGCTATGTACTATGTGCTATGTACTATGTGCTATGTGCTATGTACATGTACTATGTACTATGTACTATGTGCTATGTGCTATGTACTATGTAGCATGTGCTATGTACTATGTGCTATGTACTATGTGCTATGTACTATGTGCTATGTACTATGTGCTATGTGCTATGTACTATGTGCTATGTACTATGTGCTATGTACTATGTGCTATGTGCTATGTACATGTACTATGTACTATGTGCTATGTACTATGTACTATGTGCTATGTACTATGTACTATGTGCTATGTACTATGTACTATGTACTATGTACTATGTGCTATGTACTATGTGCTATGTACTATGTGCTATGTACTATGTGCTATGTACTATGTAGTATGTGCTATGTACTATGTGCTATGTACTATGTGCTATGTACTATGTACTATGTACTATGTACTATGTGCTATGTGCTATGTACTATGTGCTATGTGCTATGTACTATGTACTATGTGCTATGTACTATGTACTATGTGCTATGTACTATGTGCTATGTGCTATGTACTATGTGCTATGTGCTATGTGCTATGTACTATGTGCTATGTACTATGTACTATGTACTATGTGCTATGTACTATGTGCTATGTGCTATGTGCTATGTACTATGTACTATGTGCTATGTACTATGTGCTATGTACTATGTGCTATGTGCTATGTACTATGTGCTATGTGCTATGTGCTATGTACATGTACTATGTACTATGTGCTATGTGCTATGTGCTATGTACTATGTAGCATGTGCTATGTACTATGTACTATGTATGTCACTATGTAAAAATGGGACCAGTGTTTGCATGAGCAGAACTAGGTCTGTACTGAACATGACCATCAGGCTCACCGCCTGTTTCTAAAGGAAATTGTTGTAGTTTGTTGTCTATTTTAGAAAAATACTGGTTTTCGTGTTTAAGCTTGATTTATGACCAGATTTATTTTAATCATCTGCTTAAATTCACAGTCATTATGGCTGTACTGATGCCTTCTACTGCACCCGCCGTCCTGTTCCCTGTGCAGAAGATTGGTTGTAAGTCAACATAGTTATAAAGATCAGTAAAAACAGAATCTGACTGCAGCGATAAACTGATACCAGTCTTCCCATTTAAACTACATCTTTAGTTAGTTTTCTTTCTTGCTGTGGTTGAATCTGTAACATTTTTAGCTTTCAGTCATGGAGCAGAAAAAAAAACAATCCGATTCACAATTAGTCACAATTTGCTATATGAGCCAAATGTAGATTGAACAATGTACCCCATTGTTCATTAAAATATAAATGGCCATGTCCAAGCAGCTTTATTTAATGACGGGCCGACGACTCTTAGTCCCTCACTGGTTCTAATATGACAGAGTCTGGTGTCTTCTTACCTTCTCAGTATGTTCTGAATGCTAAAGCTATGGATGGACTGAAGTGGATTTTCTTTCTGGATTTTTCTTTCAGATTTTCTATAAAACACGGGGTGAACACCTGAGAGCTGCAGCTGTGATGTGTTTCCATCAACTTCCTTGTGATGAGAAAGGCTCTAAGGAACTGTGGTGCTACAGACCAATAAAGGAAACCCAACAACAGCAGGAAAAGATGAAGACGCTGAGTTAGAAGCTGAGTGCTCTTCCAGTCAGCCTGTGAAACCCATCCAGGCCAGCAGAAATCCAGCTGACCAAGAGGAACAAAATACATCCTCATTAGGCTGAGCTGAAATAAAACTGCAGAAAGGCAAATAGAAGAGAGGAAACAGACCTAGAGAGAAAAGCTCTTGAAGAATAAAATGAGATGTAAGATCAGTAAAACAATGCTCAACTTTTACTGCCCAGGTTTACCACTGATCTGGATTAATGCAGCTTAAATGATAGAAAACATGTTGAGTCAGGTTGCAATGCATTTAAAGGCACAGGCTCAATCAACCAGCAGTATCAACCATCTACCTGACCCCACAGCTTGATGGAAGAACTCTAGACGCCCACAGGTGGTCACTGTGATGTGGAGAATATGACATCACAGTGATGTCGTAAGTTATGAAGCACCAATCCGTCGGTCTGCCAGTTTCCTGTTTATCAGCAGGACTAAAAATATCAATTCATTAAATCTATCAAAGCTTCCATGACCTTCAGTCTTTAAATGGATCAACCGACATCATGTACTTGGATGCACTTTTATATACTTAATAAAAATAAAAATTCAATAGATTAGCAACATGTGCTTTGATACATAAATAGTGGTCTCCTTGAAATGTCTTTATTCCAAATTTAATTCAAAACATCTCTTGAAATAATTGGAGCATAACTGTGTCTCTTGGCTGATCTGAATCTGAATCAGCAGCACAGACCTTATACAAAAATCCGGCCCGTATCGGCCAGGAAGAGGATGATCGGGGCATTTCTAATAAGGTGCATATAAGATGAGGGGCAGTAGAGCCGGTGCTGCCATTTAATGAGAGCTAGTGCTTCACTTGCAAGCAGAAGTCAATTAGGGAGAAAGCTCTTTATAGCTAGTTTATCTCTGCGGTTCTAAACCCAGCAGATTGGACCCGGTCCCACTGTGGCTCAGTGAAAGGTGTCGTCATCTCGCAATCCGATTCCAGCTTCCTGCTGTCACATATTGATGTGCCCCTGGGCAAGGCACTTAACCCCAGGTAGCCCAGCAGTCGGTACTGGTGCATGAATGTATGGGTTAATGAGTGTGACTGGGTGAATGTGGCTCTGGTGTAAAGTGCTGAACAAATTCAGCCCATTTATTGGATTTCTACCTGTATATCGGTGTCTTTGACTGGTTCCAAGGGCTCAAAGGTGGTGGCAGCACTGAGACTTTCCAACCTCTGAGAAATGTGAAAGATGTCCAAACCTCTGGAACCAAGGAGGATGGACCTGTCAGAGGAACACAAATATATGAAGAAACTTGTGACCATAACTGACAACGAGATGCAGTCGGTCATATATACTCTCATATATTATTAGTGCTAACCAGTCACATCTCTACAAACCCTCAACACTAATCAAGCATGTAAGAATTTGAGTGTATGCATTATTATATTAAAGTTGAGAAAAAAGCTGTCTATATTAGACCTTGACATAACAAAGGGGTTTCTATCATGCATGATGTATACCCAGGAGAAAAACACATTTGAAAATGAAATGTACTCATTACTTACGCTTTTACATCTGCTGAATCCTGAGAGGTACGGGTCAGGGTGCGGGATCGAAGCCTCTCACCAGCCTGCTGGATCTCCTGAAGGTTCCTTTCAACATGTGGCAGTTCAGACACAGCTTCAGTTTCTGCAGCCAGCTGCTCTGCCTGCTGCAGAAGTTCCCCAAAACCTTCTGCATCCATAGCTTCACACAGGAGGAAGACATTTAGAAATGTGAAACACACTTAGCGGGTGGCGAAAATCCAAAAGGTCATTTAAGGTGGGTATTCTCAGCTACTGGCTTTGTGCTACAACAGAGTGAATTACATTTAGAAAAGGAAAATCAGGGTTATTTTTATTTGTTAAAAGGCCAGAATAATAAGA